CCCTCCCCATGCCACGTAACGCGTATTGTAAATTTTCTCGTTTCTCTTCCACCAGCGGACGGAAATTTATTATTAGCAGTCAGGGAAAGTCCTCGAGCGAGGAAAGTTGATAAGGGTGCATCGGGATAACCGAGTTCCGCCGTTTCTTCAGCTTTATTAACTCTGCATCATCGAAAGCGCTGACGAGAAACGAGAAAACCGATACCGCATCCTCGAATCTCCCGCTCGCGCGGATTTAACGCGTGAAATACGATCGGTGTTTTTTACGGGATCCATTTACCCGAAGTATATCGAGGTTATTATGCGATTCGGCAAACTCGTTATAGCTTGCAATATCCAAACGTCGGCACGTTGATTGTGGTCAAAACTTGCAATCGCCGCGCTTGCGTCACAAAGCGATTTACGTTTGGTAAATGTACTCGCCCACGACGAATATATTCGATTGATACGACGGCCGGATAGAACATTGCCGTCGATAAGGCTCAGTTAATCGCATATGTCGCGTTGGATATCGATCGGCATGATTGGTGATTTTAACGACGCGGGACACCGTGCAAACCGAACAGCAAACGATATGGTAACGATGCGGCGTGATCGATCGTGTTTAAAGCTGTCGACCAAACTTGATAAGCATAGCCGTACTCCCTATAATTTAAGCGACGTTAAAAGACATTGTCGCAAAGAAAACTGCCAATCCCGTGCATTTCAAACGCCAATTTCACGAGAACATCCCGAGCATTTCCAGCAATCATGATGATGCCAAATGACATATTAACGCTGTATTATTGACGTCAGAGACGTCATTAATGCCTCATTGATACGTCTCATTCCGACGACAGGCCCGCTAGGCCCGACAGGCTTGTAGATTTTATTGTGCAATCGTGATACGTACTAATTGAAAACTGCAAATTGAGATTACAAAACCCTATTGTCGATTTGAAATAACAGCCAATTCGAGAGCGGTGCTTTTGCGACGCGGTTAATCTCGAGATGATACAAAACTCAACATCAAAGAATTCGCGGAAATATGCTTCCAGCACTGTTGCATGATGAGATACATGCCCCACGGCTTAATAACTGTAACACATTACATTACGTTCTATTTAAAGTATGAGCAATTTTTAAATATGTGTGTGTGCGCGCTGCATGAGCACACAGAAAGGCGCTCCGGACGATCCCTTTTTCGCTTTACATCATTAATCTTTTGCGGCACCGCAAAGTTTATTGAATAGCCGAGGCACGGCGAGACGGCGACTTAAAGCTGCTACCCTAAATAATCGAATGTACGTGTTCGACGTATAAATCGCGGCACGTATTCGCATATAAAGAGGACTTTCCTTTTATCCCGCGATCACCTCCATATTGCTCCACGGAAGAGTGGCGCCGACACTGATTGAGGAAGTAATCAAAAAGCTCCGGAAAAGCCCTGGAAACGGCCGCTCCGTCTTACCTTATCCGCCGCGCGACTATTTCCACATGTCTGTCCGAATACAAATGCAAAAGAGGACTGTTGCGCGAAATCTCGCAGGAGGCAAATACGAAATCGGTTACGAGGGACGAAAAATCGGGGGTATTTTCCAGTTGGACAAAACGGAATTACAAGGAAGACTATAAAAGAGGTTGCCGACAACGGCACCTGCGCCGCAGATCAGCGGTTCCCGCGTTATCAGCTCTTGTCGATGTCCCTCGCGATATCCACGGCTTTTTCTCGTTCCATCTCTTTTTTTCTCTTTTTTTTTCTCTTCAAAGGTGATACACGCGATGTCCTTGATATCAGCAGTAAAAGGGACACACGTGCACGCGTTCTTGTGCCCGAGTCGAAATTTTGATCCTACTTTCGACCTCAATATTCCATTTAACACTTGCTTTGATATTCTGAAAAGCCTGCATCAACTTCTGATTGGTTTTATTTAATCTACTAGCTTTGTCGAGAGGTACTCTTTAGAACCCACAAGCGACTTTTTGTGCGTTTTTGCCACGTAGGGGCGCTAAGTAGGATTTCACTTGCCACTTGTGTATGTGTTACACATACATTGATCCTTTAGAATATATACAAATGTTAGAAAGTTAGATCTAAAGTGGGATTAAAACTTAGACTCGGGTCCAAGTTGCTGTTCTTTTGTTGCACGCCGTCGGTAAAGATATTTTTCAGTCTCTCGCGAGTACAGCCCGGGCGATTCGCCGCGGATAAACAGGTGAAGCGGCCCTCTTATCGATGTTTACCGTGGTACGATAGCTGTAACGTAATTTCCCATTGAGATAACCGACGTCCGCATAGTACACACAAGCTACGAGTGCAAGGTGTACTCCGCATCATGAAGGAATAAACGCGATCGATAGATGACCGCCGATAACTGCTACGCGACGGGCTGGAAGCGATATCGCTGCGAATCGTCCGCTAACTGGCTTTTTCTCAATTGCCAATAACGCGTGTTTGCGCGCTGAGGCCACTCGATCGATCCCGTAACCGGACGTGGAGGATTGACGTTCAGATATTTCAACAACGCGGCTATTAGATTCCGCGCGCCTCCTGCGCTCAACATCGCGAGGATCGTAAGATCGCGATTATTCATGTCGCGTGCTCTCTCTTCGTTCTTCGAAAAATGTGCGCTTTTGTAAACATTTGATCGGTATCAATGCAACGTGAGAATTCACGATTTATTGTACGCCTTCCGATTGTTGCCTCGCGAGTTCCCGGGACGGGCGCAACAATAGAAAAAATGAAAAAGAAAAGAAAGGAAAAAATTGAAGGCGATATTAATGCTTCATTCAGTGGCGTGCTTGCCACTGAGACAAATCATTCTTTCTTCTTCATTCAATCTCCTCGGCGGCATTGTTCGGGATTCGCCCCGAATTTACCGTCTGGGAATACTCCGCGTATCGAGAGGAGAAATTATCAGGGTTTCCCGAGCATACGCCATCCCTTTTTTCTCTATAAAGCTCCATTCAATAGCTTCCTCCGTCCGGCAAATCGCACGTGAACGTCGATGCGGGTGGTATTTCGCCGATTATCGGAACGTACAACATTTGCGTTATGAACGACTAGCGAATTGCGCGACTGCATTCCGCGATTCCGCTACTCTCGCAGCGCGCTGAATCCAAATGAATCTGCGCGAATAAATTTTCAACACGCCCACAACGCATTGAGGCCACAACGATAGATAGATCCGCTTGATCTCCGCCACTCTCTGGCCTGCTCTCGAATTATATTTAGAAGATGTTCTCAATTTCTGTCACCGATCCGTCGCGTCGCATTGCGCCCTGGGAGATGCGTTTGATTTCCGCTGCCAATTCGCCGTTATTTCTGCGGAGACTCCGGCGGACTCCGGCGAAATATGAATTCAATGCGGACGCGGTCGATAGCAATCCGCTGCAACGTGACAATCGAGTCTGTTGCACACAATCGTTGGCACACTGTGCTCATTTCGTTGCAATTAGAGTTCCTCTAATCAGAGTTAAGACAAAGTATCTAATTGGTCTGCATCCCGTCCGCCATTTTTAGGGATTACGTAAGTGAGAATAAGAAAGAAACAGGAACGAGAGACAGGCTTTAAGATCGAAATGACGAAGTACGCTGCAGCACGGAATAAGTACAGATATGGCTTACTGCAGATTCTCTCTTTTTCTCTCTTGCTCACTCACTGCTTCCCTACAAATGGTGGACAGTGTCCTAACTTTGATCTGGGCGACTTCAGTTGCATTTTATCGGAGAATCGTCAACCTCATGACGTGGAAGACGATAGATTTGATAATGCGTTTCTTTCGTTTTTTTCTTCTTCCTTCCATCTGTCCCAAATCGTGTGTTCTGGCGCGTACAACGCATAACAATAGAGCAATCTCTCGCCACATAGACGTGTCTAAGAAATTACGACGTCGTAAAAGAGAATGGCCAGAATGAAATCGCCAGAATTTCATCATCATAATCAAGTTGCGTGTTATACGTAAAACTCTCGAATTGATCTAGCTTAAGGAACTGATCTACTTACTCGCGAACCGCCGCGTCGTCCCCATCGCAAAACCACTCTCATCGTTGCGTTAGTAATAGATGAGGGGTTAATGAGGGATTCGTTAGGCGAATAAATCTCCCGTGAATATCCGCGGGGAGAATACTACTACCGTTGTTTTGGTTCGTGACACTCCCGAGATCCGCGTGGATATGCACGGGTGTCGCAAGAACAACTGGCATTATTTGACGGGAAAGCGGGTGATTTATCGTCGATCGATATTCAAATTATTCCAAGTAATGCGGGTAGACAGTTTCGTTTGTGGCAGGTAACGCACGCCAATGTATAAAGGAGATGATATTTCATCTTCCGGAATTCACACGCCGTTATATCAATTTTCTGAGTAAACTACGAACGTGTGCCCTCCTCCCGCGATCAAACATTACTCCATCGGTAATTCAATATTCTCCATAAAACAAAATAAATCAAATAATTGCCTGTATATCGTTTCACTGTTTGAACGAGCTTTATATTTAAACGTCACTGTTGACTCCCATAGAGGTAATAAACCTTGTTGAGGTTTGTTCTCTGTAAAACACAATAAATCACATAATTGTCTGTACACCGTGTCGCTGTTTGAACGAGCTCTAAATTTAAACACTACCGTTAATTTTGCTGAAAGAGTAGCAGACCTTATTGGGAAGGTTTGTTCTTTGTCATTACACGCCCTAATTTGACATTAAAGATACGGCAGAAAACATTGATATTGATTTACCGGTGCTTAATTAACAAATGGGATAGAGTGAAACCGCGACACACGTTTTGTGGTAAGTGACGTCCGCGCGAAAAATTCACATTTGTGAGATACGTTAACATACACTTTCTGAAATAATAATTTCGCTGACAATCGCTACAACTAATCACGAAATGCGGGATATTGTTAGAACATGGTGAGACAGAGATGTCGGCTTTCCGCGAACTTAC